AAAAAAAAAAAGAAAAAACGGGGGAAAAAAATATATGATGACTTTATATATGTGTGTGTATATATATATTTATTTATTTATGCGCTCCCCCCCCCCACACACACACACCAAGGGACAGTCTTAGCTACCCTGAGATTGAGTGCCCTGGCATCATAGCTCAGAGCAACCTCAAACTCTTGGGCTCAAGCGATTGTCTTACCTCAGCCAGGTAAGACAATTTTTTGGTTGACAAAAAATTAAAAGAATAATAATATATAATATATGATTATTATATTTGTGTAAACAATTCTATTAAATTGGTTTTGTATGAAACATTTGGGGACTTTTTCATGTTTCTGTTAAGATAAGTAGGGTATTAGAGTTATGTTTGTTCTCTTCCCAAGATTTATATTTGCTCCTTTCCTGATACTTTACTTTTTTGTTTTTTTGAGATAGGGTCTTGCTGTATTGTCCAGGCTGGGATACAGTAGTATTAGCCTAGCTCCTTCAAACTCCTGGGTTCGAGTGATTCTCTTGCCTCCGCCTCCCAAGTAGCTGGGACCTGACTAATTTTCCATTTTTAGTAGAGATAGGGTCTCTTCTTTCTCAGGCTGGTTTCAAACTCCTGAGCTCAAGCAATCTATCCACCTCAGCCTCCCAAAGTACTAGGATTACGGGTGTAAGCTACTGCCCAAGCTAAAGAAATTTTTTTTTTTCAAATTTGAACTGACAGAAAAAATCTCACTAACATGTTTGTATGAAGTATTACCTTTGAGAATGAAACAATTTATAACTTTGTTCAAAAAGCCATGCCAGTTTTTAACATGCTGTTATTTTTATTTCCTAATGAAAGACTCTTTCAAATTTTAAGATTGGCATTAAAAAGAAAAAAAAAATTACACTTAAGGTATTGACTCCAATGTAGATTTAGTCATGATGTATACAGTAACAGAGGCAAGGGTCTAAAAAAGCAAAAATGTTTTTCTGTCTCTTTGAAACCCCCTGGCCCTTTGGTTGGAGCATAGGTCAGGAGATTGTCTGTGCTGGAGAAGGGGTCGGTCTGTACCTTCAACTACGGTTAAAATAGCCTAAAGCGGAAACCTCTCCCGCTCCTTAAAAGTTCTATATTTCTACTTGTCAGGACGATGGCACTTTATGACAGGACTCTCCATCCTCATCATTTTGCCAACAAATTAATAAATCTTCCTCTCCTCCTCAAATCATTCCTGCCACAGCTGCAGCCTTGGGAGCAGGTGTTGAGCTTTCAGTAACATCAGGGTCACAAAGTTCCTGAAGAGTTTCCCAGCCCAAGATCTGATTCCAAATTGGTATTTTTTTCCTGTTTGGTTCAACTAAAATTTTCTGGTTTACCACGTGCCAAACACAGTGATGGGCACTGCTGGTATGAAGACAGATGGCATGGCTGTCAGCCTGAAGGGAGCTGGAGTGCAGCAGAAGGGGTCTTTTTCTTTCTTTTTTTTTGAGACAGAGCCTCAAGCTGTCATCTTGGGTAGAGTGCAGTGGTGTCACAGCTCACAGCAACCTCCAACTCCTGGGCTCAAGCGATTGTCCTGCCTCTACCTCCCAAGTAGCTGGGACTACAGGCACCCACTGCAACAGTTGGCTATTTTTTGTTGCAGCCATCATTGTTTGGTGGGCCTAGGTTGGATTTGAACCTGCCAGCTTAGTTGTATGTGGCTGGTGCCTTAGCTGCTTGAGCCACAGGTACCGAGCCAAAAGGTGTCATTTTAACATAGTGATAAGTATTCTGATAGAGCTGGTAGGTACTTTGTCTTGTATCAGTCTAAGGGGCCGGTTTTAGCTCAGTCCAAGGATTTATGAAAACCTTCTCAGAGATGAACTCCCACCTTGAACACTGAATGAGTAGAGTAAGAGATATATCCTACTTTTCTTGGAGGTCTCCAGAGAATTATACACTTTATATAATGCCAAGCTTTGTTTGTTAGTGTTTACATGTATTTAGGGGGGCATTATATAACGGAAAATATAGTCTGATTATTTCATAAGTTTCTTTTTTTTTTTTGAGACAGAGCCTCAAGCTGTCCCCCTGGGTAGAGTGCTGTGGCATTACAGCTCACAGCAACCTCCAACTCCTGGGCTCAAGCGAGTCTCCTGCCTCCGCCTCCCAAGTAGCTGGGACCACAGGCGCCCACCACAACGCCCGGCTATTTTTTGGTTGCAGCCGTCATTGTTGTTTGGCAGGTCCGGGCTGGGGATTTGAACCCGCCACCTTAGGTGTACGTGGCTGGCGCCTTAGCCGGTTGAGCTATAGGTGCCAAGCCTATTTCATAAGTTTCTTAAGTGAATTCCTCCTTTCTCCCCCCGCCTTACCAACTCTTAACAGAATTAGTGGGAAAATTTTCCATGGTGCAGGATCATTTCTTTTCTCCCACGGCCTCTGGCAAAACTTTTATAAGGGCAGTTCTGAAGGGTTTCTTGGACCAGGTCCTTCTACGAAGAAAACTTATAAGCCAGGCAATGGTGGCTCACTCCAGTAATTCATGCACTTGGGAGGCTGAGGTGGGTGGATTGCCTGAGCTCACTGGTTCAAGACCAGCCTTAACGAGAGTGAGACCATATCTCTAAAAACAACCGGGCATCGTGAAGGGTGCCTGTAAGTCTCAGCTAATTGGGAGGCTGAGGCAGAAGGATCACTGAACCCAAGAATTTGAAGTTGCTGTGAGCTAAGATGTCACAGCTCTCTACCAAGGGTGATCAAGTGAGACTGTCTCCAAAAAAAAAGAAGAAGAAACTAAGTATGACTAGGGGGAGGCTCTTTAAAAATTTTAAACTACTTCTGTAAAACTTTGACTTTGGAGGATAACTCTTTTTTTTTTTTTTTTTTTTTTTTGAGTCAGAGTCTCACTTTGTTGCCCTGGGTAGAGTGCCATGATGTCATAGTTCACAGCAACCTCAAACTCTTGGGCTCAAGCAATTCTCTTGCCTCAGCCTCCCAAGTAGCTGGGACCGCAGGTGGCCAGAACAATGTCCAGCTAGCTTTAGAGATGGGTCTCGCTTTTGCTTAGGCTGGTCTCAAACTCCTGAGCTCAGCTAATCTGCCTGTCTTGGCCTCCCAGAGTGCTGGGATTACAGGCATGAGATAACTCTTGGCAGCTCCTGACTGTTCCCTCTGATCTGGGCTCTGCTGATCCTTCTGTCTTTTCTTTAACACAGTTCCAGTCACATGTTCATCTGTTCCTCTGTGCCATGACTGAGTTCTCCAAGCTTTCTGTGTCCTGTGTACCTGGTTCTATTTTAGCCACCTGACCTACCATGGCTTCAGCTTTTAGGCTCTGATCTGCTGACCTGGTCACTGCACAGCCAGCCTCCTGCTTCACAGAGACTGGGCTGCCCTGGCCCTGCAACTAGTCCTGGGGCTGGGAATGGTGTTGCTTGGCCATGGTGACCCTCTGTGCTTTTCCCCAGTACACATATATGGGTGGGGCAAAGCCAAGATGGGAAAGAGAAAGAAAAGGGAAACCCTTTAGAGAAGATCTGGAGTTTCTGGGAGAAAGAGCGTATATTTAAGAACAGCTCTCCAGGCACAGTGGCTCTTCCCTGTAATTCTAGTATTCTGGGAGGCTGAGGCTGATGGATTGCCTGAGCTCTTGAGTTTGAGATCAGCCTGAGCAAGACCCAGATCTTGTCTCTACAAACAGCCAGGCATTGTGGTGGGCGCCTGTAGTCCCAGCTCCTTGGGAGGCTGACTTAAGAGGATCTCTTAAGCCCAAGAGTTTGAGGTTGATGTGCGCTGTTGGGCGACAAGGTGAGACTCTGTCTCAAAAAAGTAAAAACAAAAAAAACCCACAGTCCAGTTCATTTCTTTTCTTAAATATTTGAATGCCTTGTATGGGTCGGGCATTGTGCTGAGTAAGAGTAAAAGATGAGTAAGGAAGATATTTGGGATACTTGGGATTCCAAAAACTGTTGATCCAGAACAAAGCACTTTACAGCATTACAGTTTTTATCCCTCTTGCTGTCATACTTGTCACATAGTTTTATGCTAGGTAAGGAAGGTTTTATGGAACACATTCTTGCTATTATCCTAAGTTAGGTTTCAAAGTTACTCAGAATTCCATGTATGGGTTGAAGCTGAGTTTTAGTTACCACACTGTGAATTTAGGGATTATTGGGCAGTGACTAGGTCTAATGTAAAGTATGCATTCAATACCCCTTGTGTATCAAGGCTATCGAAACAGAGGGAATGATTTCCTATACTTGGTAGATGCTTTCATGTTCTGGAAACAAGACTGTCAGGAAAACATCAAAGTTTGCAGATGTTGGTGAAATTAGTAGTTCAGTTTCTGAACTCCTTATTAGCTGGATGTTAGTAATCCTGGGAGGCAGCCTACCCTCTTAGGAGAAATTGATTGAGAGACTCATGTATTCAATAAGGTGACAGAAAATGGTGCTATTAACAAGAATCACCAAAAGAGTTTGGATGTGTCTTGAGAGACAAAAATAGAAACAAAAAAGACCAAGCTATTTGTCATATTAACCCGAAGAGAAAGTTTGGGTTAACCACATTAAAAATCTCCATTCTGTACTTGTGGCCTTGATAATAGAGTCTGCAGCACATTGAAACAATGCTTTGCAAACACTGTGAATAGCTAGGACAATTCTCTGAGTTCCCAGGGAATGTGCACGACATACGACATGTGTGATGAAACAGAACGTGACTCGGAATCAGATACGACTTGGATGAGAATCAGATAAGCTGAGGGAGAAACAGAAGGAGCAGGAAGAGCCTGACACAATTAAGGGAGAAAACTGTTTCCTAATTATAGAAATTTCCTTATTTATCTGTTTTGGTATTTTTATCTGTTAGACATGTATTTATATAATGTGTATTTTTTCCTAATTCTGTCCCAGGGTCTGATGGCTATTGATTGTCCATATACTGGCATTGTGGACTATCGGCAGGTGGCTTTGTCGTTTGCCCAGGATTTCCAAGAAGCAGGTGGCTCTGTCTTGACCAACTTCGAAGTAAAAGATATTGAAATGGCTAAAGAAAGCCCTTCTAGAAGTAAAGATGGTGAGCCATCCATGTCTTTTCTGTTGAATACAGTCCATGGTTCCACGTCTGTTCCATATCCATATTTCCCAGGCATTGAAAATACTCAGTAAAAAAAATAAAAACCAATAAAAAGTAAGGATAATTCAGACTTAAAAAATATATAACAGCTGTTTGTGTAGCATTTACATTATAAGTAATCTAGGGATGATTTAAAGTATGTGGAGAATATGTGTAGGTTATATGCAAACACGATGCCATGTTTCATTGAGTGACTTAGGCATCTGTGGATTTGGCTATCAGTGGAGTTCCTGGAACCTGTCCTCCATGGATTCTGAGGGATGACTGTACTTGAACTGACTTCTTAAAAAAACTTGGTATTATTTTTGTCTGGAGTAGGGCTGGTGGGAGGGCTATAAGAGCTAGGCTACAGTGGGTAGAGATGTGGGTACAGAGAGTCAAGGGTCAGGGGTGAGATGGATGTGGGAGAATCGGGACTTTGGAAGGTCTTGTGCAATAAAAGTAGGCACTGATCAGACACTTCTGACTGGTGCTAAAATCTGGCAAGACTGTTTATAGAAAATTAGCCCCCAAACATTCCCTACACCATGGGTTAGCGTCAGAATCCGTTGGCATTGCTTGTTAAAAATGCAGATTTTAGCATCACCCAGACTTACTGAATCAGATTGTCCTGGAATAAGCCTTTAGTAATTCTTATATACACCCAAGTTTCAGAATGAAAGCCCAAGGTCATAAAATGGCTTGGCCATGCTGAACTACCTCCCCTTCCCTATTCAAGGGGAACTAAATCTAACTCTATACTTAGAGTTTGTTTTGTTTTGCTTAGAAAACATTAATTTTTTTTTTTTAATGGAATGAAAGATTTGTAAGCTCCTATTTGCTATTGGGAAATTTGAAGGAGAAGAAAAGTAGTGCTCTGCTTTTTCTTCCATGTTGAGTTTTTAAGGGTATCTAGCTCATCGGAATCATTCTTTCAGTGTCCTTCTGAATTCTGAGATGATAAGGAAATTTTAAAATCATTAAGGTTGTCATAGGTAGGTAGCATAAATGAATCACATTTCTATTACAGGTAGATTGTAGTCTTCATTCGCCATTCATGTGCTTTTATAAGACTGAAAGCCAGTGTATCTGAGTGTGAACTAATTTTGCAAATGGGCAGTTTATTATGAGAAGTTTTTGTGTCATGATAACTCTTTCTTCTCTAAACAACCTCGAACCTGTAAGGAATCACGTAACCGCACTTGAACACAAGTTTCTCCTACCATAGCTTCTAGTCCAGTGGGAAAGTAAGTACTTAATGATAATCCACTGTACAGCACGATTTCCAGGATCATACTTTAGAGAAAAACTGGGACCGCCTGTGTTGGACCAGAGGAGGGAAATGGTTTAATAAGCATAGATTAGATGAGTTTAAATAAATAAAACAAGCTAGAAATATGCTAGCGTTTTATATATTGTCAGATATGAACTAGTTTCATCTTATTATTTGGTAAAAAGCTTCAGAATGAAAAGTAAGGTGCAGTCATGGTTATGAGAAAGAAGTCATTTAAGTTTGTTACTAGTATAACAGTTCAAATAGTTGGCCTTGTGGTGCTAAACATAGATCTTTTACCAATTTTTTTTCTTTTCAGGAATGAAATATCCAATTCTTATAAAGAATACAAAGGTAAAGATTCTTCAACAAAACCGTTGTTTACTTTCATTCCCTCCCCTTTTCTAAAACATGAATTAACTGACGTTGCTGTATTTTAAAACATTGAATGAAATTTAATGTAAAACTAGGGCGGTGCCTGTGGCTCAGTGAGTAGGGCTCCGGCCCC